GCAGGCAGCTCTCAATGTAAGTTCCTAGAACAGCACATACATTTCAATAAAGTAATCAAGCTAGTGCTCTTGACTAAAATAGGGCTTACAATATATTCTGAAAATGGTAGGTGGCTGCTTGGGCATGCAAGAGGTGGTTTAAGACGTTTACTAGATGATTGTTTTATAGTAAGTCCATAAAGCAGTCACATAGTATCTCTAGCAAACACCACTAATGATTTTATGAAAATTCCATAAATTATTCCGTTATTTGTAAAATGGTGCCATCCAATTAAATGTGAAAAAAAGAAAGAAAATATATGTTTACATTTAAAAATAAATAAAAAATATATAAAAGTAGTTTAGGAAAATTGTTTTTGTATTTTATCTTGAATTACTATGATAAAATTTTTTATTTGTATTGCACATCTTATAGATACAATTCCGCTCAAAGTGCATGACGTGTAAACATAAAAAACATTTTAGATAGATAGATAGATAAATAAATAAAGAAATGAACTAACTAACTAGAAAGAAACTAACTAAAAATGAATGAATGAATGAATAAATACATGAATGGATAGATGAATAAATTAGTAAATAAATTAATTAATATATACAGCAACATAATACAATACATATTTTTAAATATTTTTTAACAAATAATTAATGAAAATGACAATGCTTTCCATCCATCCATCTTAATTACCTATTACTATAATTTTCATAGAAAATAAAATCAGCTTAAATTGCATCACATATAAACATAAAACATTTTGGATAAACAAACAAATAAATAAATAAATAAATGAAATAACAAAAAAAATGAATGGATGAATAAATGAGTGAGTGAATGAATAAATGAATATACAGTATATAGCAACATTCTCTCTCTCTCTCTCTCTCTCTCTCTATATATATATATATATATATAATACAAACAATTAAGTAAAATGACAATGGTTTGTCCATCTTAATTATCTGTTGATAGTAATTGCATTTTATTGCATAGAAAAAGATCCAGCACTATGTGTATCACAGGAAAAAAATTAAAACATTTCAGAAAAATATACATACATACATACATACATACATACATACATGCATTCATGCATGCATGCATGCATTCATTCATTCATTCATTCATAGAAAGAAAGAAAGAAAGAAAGAAAGAATATATTTTCTAAAGCATTTTTGAAAAAAAAAAATCAGAATTTTTAATATAGTCTCAGACATTTGGATAAGAGCGTATCTCTTATATTCCAAAGGAGATTATCTAAAGACTCTTTCAACACCGAACCAAAGCCAAACATAACACTAGTATTAGAAGAAAGCAATAAGAACATGTCTGAATCATTCACACATCACACTATGTTAATTTAATCACCCCCCTCAAGATGTGAAGGGTATCATCCCATGTGCCATACTTAAAAATAAGGAAACCCCTGCACAGAAGCCTGATCCATGGGCTGAATGAGAGGAAACGAAGTGTAGCTTTCAGAGGAATAATCCTAGAACCAATGATCAGTCATTCAACAACTCTGCACAAACCCACAGACTCACGGCTATATTTAGCTCAAGATCACTGCACCTCCTGCTGAAGATTAATGGCCTGTAATGGCAGGAGAAACTGCAGGTGAAGACATGGTTGGGATGGATGGTGAACAATTGCCACTCCACGGCGCAAACAAACACAACTCCTCATTAGAGGCTTGATCCCGTTCCTGTTCAAATCTCTAACTTTGATAAAGACCCATTCAAACAAGTAGGTCACATTCCATGTTCTGATTAAGGAGACTATTTGTTAGGTAAAGCAGGTAACACCTGCATGGGAAGTTATTAGAAAATGCATATAGGAGACGGAATATTGTACAATGTATACATTTTTTTTAGCATTTAGCTCACCTCTGAACACCATTTTTCTCATGGCATTTCTCAAAGGAAGTTTAAAATAACTGTAGGTCAATATAATTTACGCTTAGGGATGCATGCTTATTAACTTTTATAATACACTCTACTGTTCAGAAGTTAAGATGTTTTTTATGCTCACCAAAGCTGCATTTAGTTGATAAAAAATACAGTAAAACCGGGAATATTGTGAAATATATTACAATTTAAAATGACTGTTTTCAGTTTAATTTGATGCAATGCTGAATTTTCAGCAGCCATTACTCCAGTTTCCTTCAGAATTAATTCTAATATGATGATTTGGTGTTCAAGAATCATTATTATCAGTCTATGTGATAAATATTATAATCATAACTTCATAATTTCTCAGTATTTAGAACAGATTTATTGCACCATGTAAGTAATTATGTTCAATACGTAAGATTTCATGCCAGTTCTTTGAATGAGTGGCATTGCTAATCCACGGGCAATTAACCAGCTGCTTTAGCTGTCAATACAACTCATCAAAACAGGACTCCAGTAACAAACAAGCTGCATTCCATACGAACTACCTCAATGACAAAAAGGTTGTCAGTCTGTTCTGACTATGTACTCAGTATATGTTCTGCGGATTTGTGACAGAAACTCTCCTTCCTCCCAAAATGCATGTGCTGATAGCTGTCAGAGCATTTTCTCTGCTCTCTGCCTCACTGCCAGAGAAAACCACAGTAATTAGAGATTCACAGAGCATGACATTAATTACAGTGTAGATGGGACAACAAACAAACTGTCTTTAAATGCCCATCATCGATTTTGTCTTTTAAGCAGCATAAGTATTACACTTAATCTGTATTCTGTTTTATATTCAGCATGGAAGAGAGCCTTGATACATGTAATAGACATTTAGATAGATACATAGATAGATAGATAGATAGATAGATAGATAGATAAGAGCAGACATGCAAACCACATCCTCGGCCATTTCCTTGTAAACGACCACGTAATTCTTCATGTTAAAATACAGTATGTCACATTGTCCTGAAAGGAGCTTTAACTGGATGGAAGCAATGCGACACGCAAATGCTTCACACAAATCTTAATATTTATAATTCCACTTCTATAGAAGACCTAGAAGAAGGTAAAAAAAAACAAAAAAAACGTACTCCCTGCACTATGACAAGCCCCCTGCGGAAAGGTTTATACTGTATGCAAACCTGGAGTTTAAATCACAAAGGTCCGTAAAACCCCATGACTGCCAAATGAGTAAGTTCATAACTGCAATTCTGAGTTAGAAAAGTAGTATTACAAATAATTCATACCCCTGAGGGGCTTGTTAAAATGGACTTAAACAGCACGACTACAGGTGTTTTACTGAGAATAATTTGAACAGCGTCTTTATAATGTGGCATTATATTTAAAGAAAGACCCACATGCTTTAGTGTGATGTACAGTGACATATAATGAGCTTGTAGTGTACTACAAAGGGGTTACTTCTCCAAGGCCAATACTGTTCATTAAATAAATCATTAAATGCAAGTTTTATTATTTATTTGAATAACTAACTTCCTCTTAGGAGCTGCATGAACAGCACTATAGTTATGGTCTTCAAAACAAGGTGTTGAGATGCAAAAGAATGGAATCAGCGCTCAGCTCAAGTGTGCCTAATTAATGTGCATGGATCAACGAGATGGATTGGTTAAGGAATTTTTCATCCCCGGTCAAATCTGTATTCATATAAACTGAAATAAAAGCACTCCTGGGTCACACCGCATGATCTTTAAAGCTGGTTTTTGTATTGATATCAAATTAATGCAATGGCTGAACTGTGCTTAATGACTTGTGATGATAGTCCATTTAATATGCCTCATAAGGTTTTTCACATAGGGCCTTTCGCACCACTTTAGTTCCAGAACTAAATGTACAGTACTAAAGTACTGGGACGATTTTGCGCAAACTATTTCCCAGTACCATTTAAAGGGTTGCATTCGCACCGAGAGTGTGTACTAAGAAGTGACGTAAGCCGGTCGACAGCGACGTCATTTGTGCTTTGTCATTTGTTCAACAACAGAAACAAAGAAGAACAACATTAACAACAGGAGGATGGAGGACGCTGTGATCGGAGCTGTGTTTTTGTTGTGTCTCGCGGGTTTCACAATAATGGACAGCGAAAGTCGACGTATACGTAAAGCGATTGAAAGAACGGAAAGGAGGACCAAGAATCTCCAAGTTCTGGTACTATGAAAAGGTTCCCGCGGTGCGAAAGGCCCTATTACCACAATAGAGCTTTCTTTGGATGCGCTTTTCAACCTGCAGATTTTTGTTTTATTTGTTTACGTTTAGAACAGGATTATGAGTGTTGAAGTGTTGAAGTGATCTGAAGTGTTGACTTGGCTTTTCTTCAAATTAAAAGTTATGTGTGGATTGTATTATTGCATCATAACTAAGAACTCAACTAATACAGGCAAGGCGCAGTAGGAAAAGCTCATCACAGACATCTCTGTACCCGGAATCCCTGCTGTCTGCAGCTGGTGCTATTATCCACCAGAACTCCAGACCACTTTGACTCAAAATGTTCATTATTGTTATTACAAGCTTCACCATACATTTATCGAGCCATTTGAGACATATAAGGGAGATTTATGCGCTTTAGTGGCATTTCTGAATATTGTTTGTGATTTGCAGTAGCCTGTGGTGCACTGGAAAATGTGATATTTTTATATGCAGAAAATATGTTTACTCCATATTTTGCATGGTTAAATATGGGTAATAATATTATTATTATTATAATGGTATATCGCGACACCCCTAGGTGCAATATGAAATAAAATCTGAATGAAAATATGCATAATTACATTAAGTTTTAATTGTTGTGTTAATTTGACAGTACTGAACATAGTTTAGTTTAAAAAAATAAATAAAAATAAATATGGTAAAAAAGCTGATTAGAAAAGTCTTTTAAATATCAGGGGATAAATAGTAATAATTTGTCACAATTTTATTAATATTTATGTATTTTTGGGCTAATAAAATTACTCTGCTTGAATTGTTAAATTTAAATTCACTAAAATCCTCTTCCTGAAAGTTCAAAATTCACACTCATTCAACCAATTCCTTCAAAAATGTAGTCTATTTTATTGTCTTTTTAATTGCATGTATTTATGCTGCATGATCAATATGTCCATTAAAAAAAACTTCACACCATCTCCCGTGCCCATTACGACTGCCATCAGAGGGATTCCCGGAATAAACCTTATATTCATCTCTCACAGTCATGTTGCTGATGCTTATTTCCTTTGAGCTCAACCTCAGACTCCCACAATCCCTCACTGGACCCCAGTCTGGCAGCTTTGTCTGCTTCGATTTCCATGACAACCTCCGGCAGAATGAGGAATAACAAAAGGGAAGATAAATGATTGTGCCTTGAAAAGAAACAGAGAATAGCAAACAGCGTTCATTAAAGATAAACTATGGGGCCAGCCATGTGATTTGTCACTAACCTGACAAACTTTGGTTAGTCCAGCAAGCAGCTGTTCCTCAGAATACTGGCCCCTCGTAAACGTAACTTTGTTTCCAGGTAGACTGATTTATTTAAATAAAAAAAAATCTTGCCATTTTTGTGTGCAATATGATATGATAATGATCAGACAGTTTGTAGCCGGTCTGTAGACATGCTGCTTGAATCTGAAAAGAGAAAAGACAGTGTCATCACATTATTTTAACAAGCACTCTTCAGTGCTTAGAATTATCAGATGAAGTCTGCAGACATTTATCTAATAAAACAATACAAGGGGTGGGATACAGTATGTAGAAATTGGTTAATGATGGATTTTCCAACTCTCTGACGTGTCTATGGTGAAGATTCTGCATGAACCTGCTTATAAGGAGTCATTCTTGATTAGAAACAGAGCTCACTAACAAGGGCTGTATGTTGAAATGATGAGAACAGCATTTGGGTTTGAACCAAATGCATTATCGGTGAGATTTATTGTCGAACAAGTGCTGCCCTGCATGGCTCTATGCTGTTTTTAACCTAAATAATATTCAGTTTTATGATTAATGGAGCTATTTTAGAATCTATTTAAATTCACTTAAAGGACGTCTTTGAACAGCGCACATATGCAGTTATTCATAGAGTTCCACAATCTACCTTTAATACAGACATTTATACTTACTTCAAAGCAAAATCAATTTGTACAAGTTTGGACAGCTTTCAAGCAATGAGAACAGTCTGGAGGATGAAGATAAGGCCTTTTGGTTTTTCAAAAAATACTCTTTGCACTATAGTAACATTATGTTGTATGGAAGAGGCATGTTTGGCTAATAGCATCTCTTAATTAAGTTGTCAGGTTAGTGTGGTTTGTTTATGCAACTTTATGAACATAACTGTGACTGAAGTACACAACAGTATTTTTACCTTACTTTGAGAAAGTTTGTAGGATCAAACTTTAAATATATAATAATAATATATTAATAATAAATTATATAATATATAATTTATAAAATATATGAATACAACTAATAA